CTCTCTCTCTCTCTATCAAAAATAAATAAACATTAAAAAAAAGATTTTTAAAAAACTGTAGTATACTCATTTACTTGTCCAACATGAGCATAACTCTCATAACTACAAGATTGAAACACGAAACGCTCTTCTGCCTTTAACTTATTCTAGGGATTGTGTCTAAAAATGAAAATAAAGACTTCAAAGCTAAGCAAGGGAAAAGTAAACATTTGAAATATACTTGGATATTTCCTTCCAAGGTGTCCATGCCAATGTACCTTCCATAGCCTTGAAAAAAAAACTTTACTACTGAAATCATCTTCGTATGCACTTTGTAGGCCAGTTACAGTGAAACTTTCAGGAAGACATCTTGTGCTCAATGCATTATTAATACCCTTCCACTGGGCTACAATAGGGGCTGCACCACTGTCTGTCTACACACGAGGTGGGTTAATTTTCAGACCATGCTTAATATACAAATTGAAAAAACAAAATTTACCCCATTGGTCTCCTGGTTTATTCTAGAGAAGACAGTTCTTGCAAAAGCTCTTCCTTTTCTTGTTGCAACTCCTGCAAATGCTGTTGGTTTTGCTCCAGTCTGTCCTCCAGCCACTGCAGGAGAGGCCCACTGACTGCGGACATCTGGCTGCACAGGTTCTTGGTGAACACTTCAATGCAAGAAACGCACAGATGAGGGAACACTCTGCCACTAGGAGCTCCCCAACCACGAGCACATAAAGAAGGAGCTGGAGAAGGAAGTGGGACTAGCAGATGATCTCGGACACCTTCCTGAGTATGCCTGGATCCATAAGGTGGAGGGAAGCCTGGCCATGCAGAGAGCAGAAACTGGCTCTTTCCTCCCTCCTGCAGAAGGGCTAAGAACTACAGGTCTCTTTCCCCAGCCCCGGGCATTGGCATGGTGCAAATGACCAGTGACCCCGACTCCCAGAGAGCAACAACTCTGCCTTCTGCCACTTATTTTTCCACAAGCCCAGTAGGAAAATGGCTCCAATGTTTCATATATTGAAGAAATAAATACATTAATTCAACTCACCTCAGAGCTACTCTTTAATTTTTTTTATTTCTTTAATATAAATTATTGTCAAGTTAGCTAACATGCAGTGTATACAGTGTAGAGCCACTCTTTTAAAATGAGGACAACAGAGAGATGCAGAGTCAGGGAGCTCCCGTCATTCATGTTCAGCTTGATGGGGAGACAAGGATTCTATAGTCCTCTTTTTGAAACAAATTCTGCCTAATGGAAATATCTTTTTCTCCCTCATAACATATGACTTCTTGAAAATGACCAGTGTAAGACTGTGGGGTGCATCTTCCCAGATATATGTATATAGTTCCATATAAATGGAACTATAAAGTATGCAGTATTTTGTGCAATGCTTCCTTCACTTGGCATAATTCCCTTGAGATTCATCCAGGTGGTATATGTCTCAGCAGTTCTCTTTGTTGTTGAGCAGTACTCCACTGTCTGGGTGGATCACACTTTGCCCACTGACAGACACTCGGGTGTCTCCACCTTTTGGCCATTGTGAATAATGTTACTATGAATACTTCCGTACAGGTTTTTCTTTGAACACCTGTTTTCAACTCTTTGGGGTCTATGTAGAACTGGTGGGATATGTCATCATCGTAACTGCCAACCCCTTTAGGGGTGCCTGGCCGGCTCAGCCAGAAGACCCTGTGGCTCTTGATCTCAGGGTCATGAGTTTGAGCCCCGTGATGGGTGCAGAGATTACTTAATAATACGTAAATAAACGAACTCAAAACAATTTTTTAAAAAGCTTAAATACATCTGGAATTTACTTTTGTGTAGGATTTTAGGTAGGACTCTATTTTCCTCCAAATGTTAATAGAAAAATAGAAGCCCATGAAGATTAAGAATGTCTCTTGGATATATATATATATATATATATATATATATATATATATA